TCTTCTTCTAGTTGCTACACCGGTACGAGTTGAAGAGGTGTAAGAGTGATACAGTAGAAGATCCTGAAGGTAATCGAGACCCCGTGATCATCTATAGAATTCGACGAATCACGACCCGAAGGCCGAGGATCGTGGACCCGGACCAGCCGGATTGCCGCCGACCCTAACCAGACCGCCGCCGTGAGACGACACGATCGACGGCCAGCCCCGGCGACCCACAAGACACGTGCACCTAACCCGATCCTGACCTGGTTAATGCCGCCATCTGTTCGTGTGCTGTTCCCGGTCTCCCTGAATTAGACATATTCAAAAAATCTCAAGCCGTAAGTTTTCTACGTCAAACCTTTAGATCCGCTGCGCATAGGTTTACGTTCGCTATTGAATTCGTAACTTGTACATAACGAGATCCTCGTAGATCCCAAGAGCCAGTCTATTATTATCCGCACGAGTGAAGATAATAATGTCATCTGCATAACAAAGGTGCGAGATGAGGATGACCATAGCCACGCGTGCTATAGGTTATCCTCGAGAAATCACGAATGAAGCCGTCAAGGCAACGAGATAGGTATTCCACCGCAAGGATAAAAAGAGAGGGGGATAAAGGATCCCACTACCGAAGGCCAGGGGTGGAAGAGAATAAGTCAGTGGGGCTACCGTTAACTAGAACTGAGAACGTGCAGTGCTCCATGTACGTCTCTACAAAACTAATCCAACGCTCAGGGAAGCTCATCTGAAATAGAACCTCCCTGAGGAATGGCCACTCGACCCTATCATATGCCTTAGCCATATCTAGCTTCAGAACAAGTTTTGGGGCTCGTAACTGGTTCGCATATGAGATGTCGTGGATCATCTCCTGGTCCAAAAGAATGTTATCACTGATGACTCGATCCTTGAAGAAAAAACTCTGGTTCAGAGAGACGAGGTAAGGGAGGTGAGGGGCTAGGCGACCATTAAGAATCGTGGAGATGAGCTTGTTGGTCACATAACAAAGGCTGATATGTCTATAATCGGACCAGGAGCTCGGGCTAGGTCTCTTGGGTATCAAAACAATAGAAATTGTTGTGAAAAACTCCAGCATCTGGTGACCAGAGAATGAATCCACCACAGCTTCCTCAACGTCAGCCTCAACAATCTTCTAGCAGGCTTGAAAGAAGAGAGACGAGTAGCGATCCAGGCCAAAAACACTATTTGGATCAATCTCAAAAATAGCATCTCCGACCTCCACCCTACTAGGGAGGCCGCAGAGGTCGATGGACTACAGGATGATCGAGAGAAAAGAAGCGTTGGGGGACATAAGCAAGTTCCGATCTAAGGTGGGGGACTAGAAGTATGTCACATTTGACTCTCGTATCTGGGACTCCTGAGACAGGGAAGACCTGTTATCCTCGATATGATGGATATACGACTTAACCCGCTTCTGCCTCACAAACCCCTGAAAGTACTTGGTATTACGTTCCCTCTCAGCAACCTAGCGCACGACAGCCTTCCGCTTCTAGAAATCCTTCTCTATAAGAAGACGGAGCTGGTACTCAGCGTGACAGCAACGCATCACGGTCCTACTCTCTAGAGAAGAGTCTAGGTCATAAGCTTGCTTACCATAATTGGCTCAGCATCTGCATGCGCACTTTATGCTGCAGCGAGGCGCTGAGAAATGTCCCTAAAAACTGTACAATTCCACTGTTTCAGACTGATCCACAGTCTCTCGAGCATCGCCTCTAGATTGAGCATCCCGAAGTGCCCCATCGGTTGCTGCCAGAAAGCTATAACCGTGTCATGGAATGTGTGGTGGCGGATCCACATATTCTGGAACTGAAAAGAGGAGAAACGGAGGGTGCTCGAAAACCGACACCGGATAAGAAGGGGAGCATGATTAGATTCAATTTGAGGGAGGTGTGTGACGGTCGTGACTGCAAACACTCTCGTCCATGCCTCAGAGACTAAAGCACGGTTGAGCCTATCCTTGACTTAGGCCTGTTCCCAGTGAAGGGTGCACCTACGTATCCAGTGTGAATTAACTCAAAATCCGCCACTACCTGAGAAAAGTCTAAGATCTCAGCGGACTGGATCTACCAGTCGCCAACGCACTCATCGGTGTGAACAAAGATGTTGAAATCACCACTAACCATCCACGGTGACCCCTCCATGCTTTCAGCAATCTCACGCATAGTGTCCCATAGACCGTAACGACCAACCCTCGCACAATTGGCATAGACCAGGGTGTGGAAGATTGGTTCCGAGACATGAGCAGCAGAGAACTCAACGTGCAGAACATGTTCAGTATCATGGATGACTCCACAAATAAAATCATGCGAGTGAAAAACCCAGATCTTATTAGAAATGTTTCCCACGCCAGAGTGGAACCAAGGCAGCGTGAGTAGAAGTCAAGATGGCTCTAAGAAAGCAGCAAAGTCAAGTCTATGGTCATGAACAAGGGAGCGAACGTGAGCTAGAGTGGCCCTATTAGCCAGGCCACGGGCATTTCAGGTCACTGATGTAACCGACATATCAAACATTAGTGGTGCCACTCAACTTGGTCCGTCTGTGGGTAGGCTGAATCGATCTATCGGTTTAAGGTAAAGTTCGACTAGCCGAGCGCTGCGCAGTCCTAGATCTGGTGCGAGGCCGGCTGCAGTCGGGGCTCTCAGGGAGAGGTCCCTGAGGCTGCTCTCCCTGCTCCTGAGAATAAAAAATAGCATGTGCTCGATTAGGAGCGTCGGTCATCTCAGGAGAGGAAGAAGGAGGGGATCCGAGTAGCGAGACACGAATGTCCGCGATATTGTGTGGGGAAGCGTCACTAACAGTACGCACCACCAGGTGCTCACTCTCAAAGGCAATGTCAAGGGACGCCTTAGGCTCAGTCTGGGAATCATCGATAGGAGTGGACCGCAAGCCCTAGGGTCTCACCTCAGAGGTGACGTGCTCATCGAAGGAAGCCACGTCTCAAGAACTGATGCTATGAGGGGGGGGGGGGACTAAGGAGTCAGGCTGGTCCATCTCATCGTCCAGGAGGTCATCGTTGTCTAGGGGTGCTCGTCAAATCTTCATAAAAACGAGTGGAGGAGGATGGTTCGACCTCTATCTCAGAAGAGAGGACAACGAAGTAAGAATGGTTGGCCATAGAAGCCTGCTAGAGTGTCTGTAGAGGGAAAGTGCCTGTGGACTTAGACCTATTTGACTGGGTAGACTTCTCGGTCTGGGCGGTGTTCGCCACAAAAGCCTTGCCCTTGTCCCGAGTCCTCTTAGGGGACTAAGACGTGCGGGAAGGGGCCTTTCCCTTTCCCTTGGGATCCCTTGTGGCTGTACGGGGGCCTGATCTGGCTGGATGAAGGCGTGGCGGAAGTGATGGGCAGGGCATGTTGCCACTAGTGTAGTAGTCAGCCCCTACGTGACCCACGTGATAACACAAGGTGAAGTAAGGTGGAATCGTCTCGTAGACCACCTTCTGCGTGGTGATCTTCCCCGTCTGGTTGAGAAGGATCTAGTGACGCGCTCACTATGGAGGTCTATCTCAACACATACTCGTGCCGCAGATAGCCTCGATCGAGTGGTCGTGGCTGCATGAACCTCTATTGGGTTGCCAATGCATCTGGCAATCAAGAGCAGAACGGAAGGGTCGTAGAGGTGAGGAAGGAGACCCGGAAGACGAATCCAGACTGGGGACAAGGGAAGCCTCAATCGAGGGAGAAAAATTGGAGGTGTATTTAAAAACCCGAGCAGTGCACCCACAAACTCTAATTGTCGTCTTAAGCCTCGCCGAGTTATAGTCATCTTTATTGTCAAAAGTGACTAAATAATGGTTTAATTTATAGTAAACGGGCGTGGAGCTACCCTTCTAATCTAGTTTCTTAAGTCCAACAGTCAAATCTCAGAGGTTGGGGACAATGTGTGAGAACTTAACAATCAAGGTTTTTCCGTTCGTCTCAACAAGAGAGGAAATGTCGGGTCTGGGAAGACTTACCATGTGTTGTCCCTTCTTGGTGCAAGAAATGGACTCTCAAGAGTTGTCTCGGTATGTGTCAAAGGTAAATCTCTAGAGTTAAGTCACGCCGGCAATTTGCCAGTAATCACGTCTACGAAAAAGCGGGGGCCAAAAGATGTGATGCCCGTCTGGGTGCCTACCAGAGGAATTCCAGTTTGTGAAACTCTGGGCTGAGGGACTGCGGAGCCGGTTGCCGCACGAGGATCTGGGCCAGAGTAGTGCCCGCCAGAAGAAGGTAGAATTCCAGCATCGGTGCCGACTCTGTGGCTGTCGGTCACCAACGTGTTGGGAGTGCCGGCTGCCGACAGGATGGACGCGCCTGCCGGTGGCACTGGACCCCCCATTCTTGTCCTGAAAAGTAAGAACTTCATTAAATCTTCACCAATGAACAAAGGGTCCCCCCACATGCGTTTGTGTCATAACAAGATAAACCACTGGACATTCCGAATCAGAGTGTCAAGGACAGATAGCCCATTGAGTGACATCACTTCCCTAAATAGGAACTTGACTTCAATGTAGAAGTCATGGAAGATGATAGCCAAAATGAGGATATTACTAGACCAACACAAAAGTTGGCCACCCTTAAAGCCAACAGGGTTGACATAAAGCCATCTATCCTTTAGTCCACAATTTTAGGTTTTTGCTAGGCAAGCAAGGTAGCTATCTCTCAGTTTTGGTCTTGCGACACTGCTGCTGTATGGAGATAGTAGAGAAGTATTTTCACAAACAAACTCTACAAATTTTGTTTTGTTTTGTTTTGTTTTGTTTTGTTTTGTTGTTTTTTTTTTTTTCTTTTTTTTTTTGAATGGTTTCTGAGAGAAAAGAAAAATCTAGGAGGTGAATCCTAAAGGATTCTTTGAATTGGAAAATTGTAGAGGGACCTACTCCCCATTGTGGATACTGTGGAACTAGTTGGGGCTGGTTTCCTCCACCTCAGGGTCGATTAAAAGGCAAAAAAAATTTGTTTGTTTATAATTAGATCCTTTATGATCAGAGTTAGGGAATTCATTCTCAATAGTTTCTAAAGTTCTTTTTTAGAAGATTTTGCAAAGGATGGATCACGAGTAGCCAGGTGTATCTTATCAGTTAGAATTTGATCTTCCAGATGAACACCTTTGGCTTTAGGGCCTGTAGGAACAAATTTCTTTTTTCTTTGAGCAATTCAACCTCCTATGGAGGTGGATTGGATATAAACCTTTGTCTTTAGGGCCTGTAGGAACAAATTTCTTTTTTCTTTGAGCAATTCTACCTCATATGGAGGTGGATTGGATATAAACTTCAACTAGGTGAGACTGAGATATAAGGTTAAGCTCTTATGATAGGTGAACACTAGGGGCGGTAGTGCTTGGCACTTGAGGTTCTAGGACTCTAGGATTTCTTCATTAGACACCCATACAGATTTTTTCTTCCTACTGCACTTCCTAGAGCTTCTTAACTAGTGCTACTTAGAATATCTTTTCTGAAGTTTTTTTCCATAATGGTATTGGGTAAACATTTTTTGAAATCATTAACACTAGGTTGGCTATCACTAGGGGAAGAACTATCATTTCTGTCATCACTAGATAATCCACTACTGGTTCTAACCAATCCCTATATTGACCAAAGTTAAGCACATTTCTACTATCACTAGGGGAAGAACTATCATTTCTGTCATCACTAGATAATCCACTACTGGTTCTAACCAATCCCTATATTGACCAAAGTTAAGCACATTTCTACTGCATCTTTTTTTTTTTTTCTTTTGGAAAATAGCAAGTTTTGGATGTTTTCGTACTTGAATTCAACCCATTTATTTTTTGTGCCAAGCTTAATTTGGGTTCCTTTCTGGATGGGTTCATTTAGCTTTAGATGTACCAGAATCTTCACAGTCTTCCCATTGGAGCTTCCATTCCCTGGTGCAACCACATCTTGTAATTTGCCAAATAGTTTTTCAATCTTCAGACCGATTTCTGCTATTATCTAGTGAAGGGATAGATACAAGATTTGCACCCAGACCTTTATCTTTTCATCTTCTTCAGCAAAATCAATATCATCTAGCTATCCATGGTTTGTGAAGGAGGTATTGTCCGTCAAATGTCCACGTTGTTTTGATTTGAATTTTTTGTCTGCCCTCATCGTTCTAATACAGGAATTGAGAAGCATTCTGCCTCAAGTTTTTCACCTTAAAAGCCTGCCAAGTGACCCATATGTTCCTCAGTGTCGTAGTGAGTCCAATGTAGTTTTCCCACTTTTCTCCGAATATTTTTCTAATTAGGCTTATTTGACACTCTTGGAGACTCAACCTTATACCGTCCTCGGACAAAGTGATGCCTTCCACTTCTTTTTCAGACAACACGAACTGTTGCAATTTATCTGTGATCTCTATCTCCATAGCTACACCTAAAACCTTAAGCGAAGGGAGACATGACGTGCTAAGAGAGACTTGAAGTAGTCAATTAAGAAATCCTTGAAAGAGCAAGAGAGGCGACCAACTACATGCCTAAACGGAAAAAGAAGAAAAAGGGGTAGAAAAACTGTAAGATAGAATTAGACATGTATCATCGCCAAAAAAACCCTAGAAGAGGAGGACACAACACATAAAGCGGAGGACTAAATAGGGGGAACCCTAATAAAAACGGGATGAAGGAGAAAGCCTTAAGAGCGATGGAGGAAACGGGATGGAGGACGAACGAGCAGAAAAGTGAGATTCAAGAATTAAACAAATCAACCCAAGAAGAAGATCATGTAATGCAACAAGAGAAGAAGTTGATGTTGAGTTTGGCTAAGGTAGAGAGGGCTTGCCTTAAAGAGCCTCAGAAGGCGGCTCAAAAGAGGGTGGCGGAAAAAATGACGTGAAAACTGGTGAATCTGGACTATCCACGTGGTGAGAAATCAATGGCTGATGGTTGACGATCTGGGGCTAGGGTTATCTGATGCGCCGCCATGGGAGACTATGACCTGATTCAAAACAACACCTTTCATCTGCGGGGAAAGGGACTCCGGCTAGAGCGCCGGTGGGAGCGAGCCGAAACTAACCGAAAAAGGTTTTGTTAACCTTCGAACTCAGAACCAGTCGGGGAGCAAAGGAGCTAAAGTCGGGAACACAAACTGAGGCTGCACCTGAAGTCAGCGCGATATCGAAGTTCAGAGCATGAGTCTCTGGAAAGGCGGTGGGCACAACCTCCTTGCCAGAATCTGTTGTTTTGCTTCCTGCTGAGATAGAGGTACTCACTTCATGCGAAAGGCGGAGTGTGAGGATGTCGGCTATGGCCGAGGGGCTGGCAGTCATGGCCGAAGCAAGGTCTGAGACGGTGAGCTCCTCTACAACGTCTATCACTTCGTCATGAATTCTGGGCTTTGCGAGGAAGGCTAAGAACACCTTCCTAAACTCCGAGAAGAAAACTTCCAAATCCGGCGAAGAGTTGGCTGGGATCAGGGAAACTGCCAGAGAGCTGACGGGAACTGCTTCTGCATTGAAGGGCATGGGGATACTGAAAATTGGACGGGAAAAGGAGAAAAGAACAGACAAAAAGAGCTGAAAAAGAAGAAAAATAAAGGTGAAAGAAAAAGAAGCTGAAATTGACTGAAAAACACTGGCCGAAAGCCAGCCGCTGTCGGCGGCTGCCGGCTGATGGCCGGAAAAACCTAAAATGAAAGCTGACCTGGAAAGGAAAAAAAAAAAAGAAAAGGAAGAAGGGGATAAGAAAAAACATAGAGAGAAGGAAGAGGAAAAAGTATAGGGAGAGAAGGAGCATTTTTAAGTTCTCTAAACAGTTAGACTCACTTCTTTGTTTGACTGAGACTTGGAAATATCTTGTGTTTTTTCCTTCTTCTTTAAGCCACAAATTCCTACACTTCTTTTTCTAAAACGCATCCTCATGTAAGTAAGTTTTTTCCTGAAGTTCCTTGCACCTAAACCAGTCATCCCAGTCTCAACCCCCTCCCCCTTACCCCCTAAGAGAAAAAGCTTGTTTTGGCATCCTAAAATGAAAGATTTAAACTTCAAGATTGCAATCTTCACATTGTTTATTCTCAGGTCCTCCCACAGGCTTGTACCAAGCACTAATTACCACCTCATCAAAACCACCAGCATGAAACCATCTATAATCAAAAGTAAATCTTCTAGGATTTCTTTCAACAGTATAATCACTAATGGTCCGAAGAGGTGAGAGGAATGTGCTTAACAATAGAATTAGGGAAGAGGATTAAACAGGCTGGAGAGGAAAATAAACCATCCAAATTTTCTTCAAAAAAATTACTTCCTTTTATGTTATTGAACCGGATGAACTTTTGACCTATAGTTCTAGTATCAACCATTTCCATAAGCGTAACAAAATTCTTAAAGCCAATGCGACTACCTAATTCCCTTTGTCTACCCCCCATTCTTGTCCTGAAAAGAAAGAACGTCATTAAATCTTCACCAATGAACAAAGGGTTCCCCCACATGCGTTTGTGTCAAAACAAGATAGACCACTGGACATTCTAAACCAGAGGGTTAAGGACAGATAGCCCATTGAGTGACATCACTTCCCCTAAACACGAACTTGACTTCAATGCAGAAGTCATGGAAGATGATAGCCAAAATGAGGATATTACTAGACCAACACAAAAATTGGCCACCTTAAAGCCAACAGGGTTGACATAAACCCATCTATCCTCTAGTCCACAATTTCAGGTTTTTGCTAGGAAAGCAAGGTAGCTATCTCTCAGTTTTGGTCTTGCGACACCGCTGCTGGAGATAGTAGAGAAGTATTTTCACAAACGAACTCTACAAATTTTGTTTTGTTTTGTTTTGTTATTTTGTTATTATTTTTTTTTTTTTTTTTTTTCTGAGAGAAAAGAAAAATCAAGGAGGTGAATTCTAAAGGATTCTTTGAACTGAGAAATTGTAGAGGGACCCACTCCCCATAGTGGATACTGTGGGACTAGTTGGGGCTGGTTTCCTCTACCTCAGGGTTGAAAATTTTTTGTTTGTTTATAATTAGATCCTTTGTGATCAGAGTTAGAGAATTCATTCTCAATAGTTTCTAAAGTTCTTTTTTTAGAAGATTTTGCAAAGGATGGCTCAGAAGTAGCCAGGTTTTTCTTATCAGTTTGAATTTGATCTTCCAGATGAACACCTTTGGCTTTAGGGCCTGTAGGAACAAATTTCTTTTTTCTTTGGGCAATTCTACCTCCTATGGAGGTTGATTGGATATAAACCGTTGTCTTTAGGGCTTGTAGGAACGAATTTTATTTTTCTTTGAGCAATTCTACCTCCTATGGAGGTGGATTGGATATAAACTTCAACTAGGTGAGATTGAGATATAAGGTTAAGCTCTTGTGATAGGTGAACATTAGGGGCGGTAGTGCTTGGCACTTGAGGTTCTAGGACTCTAAGATTTCTTCATTAGACACCCATACAAATTTTTTCTTCCTATTGCACTTCCTAGAGCTTCTTAACTCGTGCTACTTAGAATAGCTTTTTTGAAGTTTTTTTCCATACTGGTATTGGGTAAGCATTTTTTGAAATCATTAACACTATGTTGGCTATCACTAGGGGAAGAACTATCATTTCTGTCATCACTAGATAATCCACTACTGGTTCTTAGCCAAACCCTATATTGACCAATGTTAAGCACATTTCTACCTGCATCTTTTTCTTTTTTTTTTTTTTTTTTGGATGTTTTCGTACTTGAGTTTAACCCATTTATTTTCTGTGCCAAGCCTAATTTGGGTTTCTTTCAGGATGGGTTTATTAAGCTTTAGATGTACCAGAATCTTCACAATCTTCCGATTGGAGCTTCCATTCTTTGGTGAAACCATACCTTGTAATTTGCCAAATAGTTTTTCAATCTTCAGACCGATTTCTGCTATTATCTTGTGAAGGGATAAATACAAGATTTGCACCCAGACCTTTATCTTTTCATCTTCTTCAGCAAAATCAATATCATCTAGCTTTCCATGGTTTGTGAAGTAGGTATTGTCCGTCAAATGTCCACGTTGTTTTGTATTGAATTTTTTGTCTGCCCTCATCGTTCTAATACAAGAATTAAGAAGCATTCTGCCCTAAGTTTTTCACCTTAAAAGCCTGCCTAGTGACCCATATGTTCCTCAGTTGAGTCCATTGTAGTTTTCACACTTTTCTCCGAATATTTTTCTAATTAGGCTTAATTGACACTCTTGGAGACTCAACCGTATACTGTCCTCGGACAAAGTGACGCCTTCCACTTCTTTTTCAGACAACTCGAACTGTTGCAGTTTATCTGTGATCTCTGTCTCCATAGCTACACCTAAAACCTTAAGCGAAGGGAGACATGACGTGCTAAGGGAGACTTGAAGTAGTCAATCAAAAAATCCTTGAAAGAGCAAGAGAGGTGACCAACTACAATGCCTAAACAAAAAAAAAAAGAAAAAAGGGGTTAATAAAACTGTAAGATAGAATTAGACATGCATCATAGCCAAAAAACCCTAGAAAAGGAGGACACAACACATAAAGCGGAGGACTAAATAGGGGGAACCCTAACAAAAATGGGATGAAGGAGAAAGCCTTAAGAGCGATGGGGCAAATGGGATGGAGGACGAAAGAGCAACAAAGTGAGATTTAAGAATTAAACGAATCAACCCAAGAAGAAGATCATATAATGCAGTAGGAGAAGAAGTTGAGGTTGAGTTTGGCTAAGGTAGAGAGGGCTTGCCTTAAAGAGCCCTCAGAAACACCATGAATGCTCTAGTATGGAACTGTAGAGGTCTGGGTGGGCCCTTTATAGTTCCCTAGATCAACGAATCCTTGAGGATCCACCACCCCTCTTTTCTTTTTCTTTCAGAGATAAAAAAATCAAAAAAAAAAATTCTTACTTCTATTTGTTTTCAATTGGGCTTTGCAAATAGGCACTATATTGTGGAACCCAGAGGTACCAGTGGGGGACTTATGTTGCTTTGGGACTCAGAGGTAGAAGTTATTCATATATACATTCAAAGCTTTTTTGTTTCTGTTAATTTCAAGGAGAAGATGGGAGGCAGCTCTTGTTGGGCAATTTTTTTGTATCTTAGCTCTTATAAAGCTGAGAGGGCCAGTCAGTGGGAATTTCTAATCCAGGAGAAAGAAGTATGGGGGGAGGTATGGAGCATAACAGGTGATTGGAATGCTATTTGCAAACCAGAAGATAAAAAAGGGGGTAACCCTCAACCTGCTACCAGTCTTTGGGATTTCAATCACTTTATCTCTCGGATGGGTGTTCAAGAAATCCCTCTTCATGGATTACCTTATACATGGGCCAATAACAGGCATCGCAAGGACTTTGTGGAGGAGACTTTGGACAAAATGTTTGTCACCCTAGACTGGCTGGTTATGTTCCCTGCTACTAAAGTGACCAGTTGGTTTAGGAGTGCTTCAGACCACACTATGTTGGTCATTGCTACTTCAGCCGAGGTCAAGAAATTCAAAAAGAGATTCCAGTTTGATAAGAGATGGGTGAGTAAGGAAGGGAGTGAAAATGTGGTCAAAGAAGCATGGGCACTGCCTACCTTAGGTACACCCATGTTCATCCTCAAAGAGAAAATAAAAAGAGCTAGACAAGCTTTCCTTAACTGGAGCATGTATTTCAGAGGAGAGCAATCAACTAAGATTGACAGACTCACTTATCAACTTTAGGAGCTCAGAAAGGAGGGGGAGACAAAAACTAGGACTTATGGGACACACTACAAAAGGAACTGGATGCAACTAATGTATCAGAGGAGACTTATTGGAGACAGAAGGCTAGGGCACTCTGGTTTAAGGAGGGAGATCAGAACTCCAAGTTTTTCCATTCATATGTTTCACAGAGAAGGAAGATGAACTCAATAGTGCGGTTGGTGAATGAAAGGAATGTGAAGGAAGATGAACTCAATAGTGCGGTTGGTGAATGAAAGGAATACTATAAGTGACAGCCCTGAAGAAATTGAAAGAACAATCACAGACTTCTTTGGCAAGCTATACACCACCAATGGTTCTAGAGGAGGTCATGAGTTTCTTCCTTTGATTAACAAGACAGTCACGGAGGACTTGAACACAACCTTGGCAGCTCTTGTGGAAGATGATGATGTTAAAAAAGTTGTATTCAGTATTCATCTTAATAAAGCACCCGAAGAGGATGGTATGACATGACTTTTCTATCAACACTTCTGGCCAATTGTGGGTAAGGACTTTACTTTTGCTGTTAAGAGCTTCTTTGAATCCTGCCAGCTATTAAAATACTGGAAGCACACATTAATCACTCTAGTTCTAAAATGCTTTAATCCCATCTCTATCAGTCAGTATAGGCCCATTAGCCTCTATGCCGTATTCTATAAGATTATCTCTAAAATACTGGCTTTGAGGTTAAGACTGCCTTCATGATTGCATTTCTGAAAATCCGCCAGCGTTGCTTCCTGGGAGACAACTGCTTGATAATGTTGTTATTGGACATGAAGTCTTCCACTTTTTGAATAGGCATGTGTTAGGTAAAAATTATTTCATGGCTCTAAAGCTGGACATGATGAAGGCCTTTGACAGTTTGGAGTGGAAATCTGTATAGTTGACAATGTTGAGGATGTGTTTTAGTGCTAAATATACCAACTGGATTATGGCATGCATTCAATTTTCTTCTTTTTCTTTTAATCTCAATGGCAACCCTTATGGTTTTGTTACAACTACTAGAGGAAGAAGATAGGGGGATCCATTATCCCCCTACCTTTTCATCATTATTTCAGAATTATTGTCAGCCAAGATCCAGGATTGTGTAGAGAAAGGATGTAACAAAGGTATAAGGCTGTCAAGAGAAGGGCCCACATTGACTCATCTCCTCTTTGCAGATGACACTCTACTTTTTTGCAAAGCTGATGAACAACAAGCTTCCAAAATTCTCCAGATCCTTCAAGCCTATAACAGATTCATAGGACAACAAGTGAACATGGCAAAATCCTCTGTCTTCTTCAGTAGGAACACACCTCAGGGACTACAGACCAAATGTTGTGATATTCTCTCTGGCATTCAGGTTCATTCCTCTACTAGATACTTGGGTCTTCCTATGGGCATAGGGAGATCCAAAAGAGAAGCATTTGAATATATCCTTACAGTGGTAAAGAGTAGAATCTGTAGCTGGCAAAACAGATGGCTATCTACAGCAGGTAAGAAAATTCTCATCAAAGCTGTTCGTAATGCACTTCTTGTTTTTTCCATGTTCTACTTTGTTCTGCCTGTTAACCTTTACAAGGAGATTTCAAGTACTTGTGGGAACTTTTGGTGGAGTAAGGGCTCTGAGCTTAGCAAAGGGTTTCCATGGATTGTCTGGTCCAAACTCAATTTAGCGAAGAAGTATGGTTGATTGGGTTTTCAGGATCTACAACTCTTCAACATTGCCCTTATTGCTACGCAGATATGGAGATTGCTTACAGAGCCTCAATCATTGGTTAGCAGAGTGCTGAAATCCAAATACTACCCTAAAACTAGCATCTTTGAAGCTCAGTTGAAGCAGAATTCATCTTGGCTCTGGAGGAGCTGTCATTCAGTTATGCAGATATGTGTTAAGTGGCTACAAGTTGAAATCAGAAGTGGAACAAGCACTCAAATATGGGATCAATAATGGCCGCCAACCCTTGCAGGTAACCCAGTAGATTTACTGGCTGGTATAGATAGAAATTGTGTTTGGGTCAGGGATCTAATGACTGCAGATGGATCGAATTGGGATGAAGCCAAAGTTAGGAGGACATTTCTTTCTAATATCTGTGACCTGGTCCTGTCCATAAAGACTATTAACCTCAATCAGGAAGACAGGTGGAAATGGAAGTTACACAACAAAGGATTGTTCTCTGTCCAGTCTGTCTATGCTCACTTAATTGCTGAGAAATATCTTAAAAGTTCTTAGGCACAGGGGAGTGCAGATCTGGCCAGAGATATTAAAGTCAGAAACAAGAGCTGGAAAATGCAGGTGATGGGCAAACTCAAGCATTTCATATGAAAATGCTGCAATGGCACACTACCAGTTGCTCATAACCTGTTGGCAAGAGGAATTCAGATGGACAGTATATGCGGTTTATGTAGTGAAGAGGTTGAGATTGTAGAACATGTGCTCTTTCACTGTCCCTATGCTCAAATGGTTTGGAAGCTTGCTCCTGTTCATTGGGAAGGACCACAAAGGGGAGAATCCTTTCATGACTGGTGGTGGCACATCTGTCAAATGGACACAACAGAGACATCAGAGGCTCGCATTCAACTATCTACATGCACACTATGGTGGCTCTGAAAAATGCACAATATGTGACTATTTGAAAAGGTTAGAAGGCCTGCACATCTCCTTGTCCAAGCAGCTTTGCATGACTGGAATTCATATACGGCAAGAGGAGTGACCAGGCCTTGATGTAGTCTGTTGTCAGTTCTTTTTTTTTTTGTTTTCCTTCTACGTGGGTTATCTGGTGTAGGAGTTAAGGGTTCAGTTATGTAACTGCCTTACTCCTGTGTGGTTACTATGTTTTAGCTGCTTGGGTTCTAGGCCACTAATTAGTGTGGTTCTCTCATTTCCCGGCTTTTCATTTGGTGATTTGTGTTGTTAGTGATGTTTTTAGTTTGGTTGTATTTTATCCTTGTTAGACTATGTATTGTTTGTTTGTTCTATGAGATGATCTATCGTTTGAAAGAAAAAAAAAATTAAACAAATCTCTAGAAACAGAAAAAAATCCAATAGAACTCGTTTATAATGTTGCCACACCAAAAAATATCTTTACTCTTAATATATAAAAAGATGCTAAGAGCCTTCCTTGGACGACACGTGGCGCAAGGAATTTGAAGAGGCTTTGTATACCTGTTGAAAAAAAAAAACGCAGCCTTTCATTCGAAACGTCGTTGTTTTTGGATGTGTGTGAGGTTATTTTTTCTTTTCCTTTTCGTTCATTCATTTTATCGAGGCTTTTTTGGGGAAACTACGATTTTTTTCGATATCGTCATCTTCTTCGATGAATCACTCTCAATCTATTTTTTAGTTTCGTCTTCGGTCTCCAAATTAAACAATTGGGACATCTTCGTTTAGTTTCAGTGAAGGTTTAGTTGC